AACTCGACACGGAGGGGAACAGGGCAGGGTTCCGGATTCACTCACCACAGCCGCCGCCATCGCCGAGAACAAAAGCTCCGCGCTGCTATCACCGAGAACAAAATCTCTAGCGCCGTTGCTGGCTCACCGCCGAGAACGAAGAAGGGGGGGCAACGGGTTCAGACAGGAGTACACGTTCAGACAGGCACGGGGACACATTTCACCTGATGCACTGCCAAGTGGGGCCGTAACTAGATGCACTGCCAAGTGGAACCCACATGTGTTAAACATAACCTCACTCTCGTTGACGAACAGTTCAATCGCCCGAGTGGGCCTTGTCTATTTGGGCTTCTCAAACGTAGCACTAGGGCTATTTTCGTCAACTACATGACCATCTTTTCATTGCACCTCAAAAATATCGCACAGGAGCTATTGACCCTGAATCGGCTGCCAAGGATATCGCTCCGTCATGGCCTTTGACCACCCGGAAAATATTCTGTAGAGCTTAGGCTCAGGTGCACCCCCTTATCTAGCCATCCATCTCTGCATCGCGATTCGTCCAAGAACTTTTTTCTTTTTTGTTTCTTCCAAATAAAACAACATATGAACTTCACACTTTGCGGCACAACAAAACATTCTAACTAGAATGTGGGAAAAAACTTTCAGATTTTTTCGTGCATCATAAGTACTAAAAATAACATTTTTGAATAAAGAAAATCTCATTTTGTATATTTATGTTGGTCAAAAAAATCTGTAAGTTTTTTCTCTCATTGTAGTAAGAATGTTTTGCTATCTTGCAAAGTTAGAAGTCCATATGTTGTTTTATTTGAAAGCAACAAAAAAGAGAAAATTTCACGCAGTAAGTTAGTTGTTTAGCACGGATCTCAAAGCTATACTAGATGGTATGGATATGAGGTGTCCATGAGTCTAAGCTCTAAAAATCCGCATCCTTGACCACCCCTTGAGCCATTCGCATCCGGCGTCATCGGCGATGAGCGCGAGGTAAGGAGAAGGTGGTTGGGCGGAGGGAGCTAGAGGAGGCGGATTCCACTATGCATCCAGGCTACTCCTTGTGGAACGCTGCACTTCTCGTGGTTCACTCCGCCACCAATATCATTGACCGAGCTCGACCAAGGTTCGGGCGTCCTCCATCCTTCCACAGTGCAGAGCAGCGGCCAGCATGGCGTGGCGGCTTGCCGCCGCGCCGGACGGGAGTACCAGCGCCAATGGCTCGGCGGCTCCCGACCAAGCGCGCGGCTTCTACCGCGACCGGATCCGGCGGGTCGCCGTGTCTGGAGGGCTGAAAAGTTCGGCTTTCTTCGACCACTCCCAGTCCAGTCAAAGCGGATCCAGCTACTCCAACCACTCTGGCGCGACGAATTCTTATCCGTCCAATGACTCCGGCATCTCTGCCGCTGAACCGGACTTCGGCGCCCATGAGATCACGGTAATCGCCAAGCTGGCCAGGGAAGTGTACACCCAGCGCATGGAAGAATTAGTCAACGGTGGCAGCCTGAAGAGTGCTCTGGAGAATTGGTTCTTCCAGCTTGACGTGGATTGGGTTCTCGACGATCAGCAGCTCCAGCGCCGTCAACTCCAAGACAAGGGGCCGTCATGGCTCCAGGACTTGGTCCAGAGGTGGATTCGAGCTCTCAGGGTAACAACCTCCTGTATCGTTGACATGTTGAGCAGGAACACTGTTCAAACCTTGGTGGTCGGACAGTTTGCTAGAGCAAGCATCTCGGCGATGCTCACCTTTGTCGACGTCATGGTTCAAGTTCTTGAGGCGGGGAGGCTACGGGCAGTGCTAGACATGTATATCTGTGTCTCCGCTGTGTCAGACATATTCACTCAGGCTGTGAGCTGTCCAGAAGCCCAAAGCATATTCACTCAGGCTGTGAGCTCTCCAGAAGCCCAAAGCATATTCACTCAGGCTGTGAACTCTCCAGAAGCCCAAAGCATATTCGAGGAGATATCTGGCTCGTTCGCGAGAGAAACAAACATGCTATGTGAGGCCATATCCACCACAATGAAGGATGTGAGGACATTCATGGAGGACGACGACTCGTGGGCTATTGAGATTCCGCGAGGAGGAGGCGAGGTTCACAAGAACACCCGGTTGATGGTGGGTTACATCGCGTCCATGACGGACACATTGGTGTCGACGCGCGACTTTGCACCAAGCCACAGCACTGGAAATCTTAGTGGCCTAGTAGATGACACAGTCAAATATTTGAATGATTTGCTCCAGAGAAAATCGGAGCTGTGCTTGGATCTAAGCCTGAGGTACCTATTCCTGCAAAACAATTCCTATTTCGTAGCCACCAGGGACATTGGTCATGGAGACTCTGAACACCACCAGGGACTTGAACTCACACCTGAATGCAAAAACCACATGGATAGTTATCTCGGTGTTTCGTGGGCTCATGTGATCTCCTCCGTATCGAAATCGAATCCTTCTGGACCGCTGCGTCGCTGGTTGACCAACACCTCTTCGCTGGCTAAATTCGAGTCAGCGTTTCATAAAACCTACCAAGCCCAGAAGATCTGGAAGGTTCCAGACCCTCGGCTCAGAGATGCGCTACGGAGGGCTATCATCGAGAGAGCCATCTCAAGTTACAACGACCATCTGAAGAAGCATCCTGAGCTAGCGGAGCACGCTAGCCGCGGAAACAGCACTCCCGCCGTCTTGGAAGAGATGTTGGGACAGCTATTTGAAGGCTGAGAACTTCTTTGAGGCATCGAACAGAGTCACCAACTAATAAGAGGCCAGAGTTATGTTTCATGACATCCCATAGTATTTGAAGTGAGGTTGTAAGGGGTGTCTTATTTGACTTGTGATTCCATGTTAAACACTCTCACATAGCTAATTGTCATGTTTACTTTTCATTATTCAATATTTTATACACGCTTATTTTCATCTACTTCAGTGAAACTTGAGCTTGCAGATGGCAAGGTCACTCAGATGCAAAGGAAGCCCTGTGCATCTGAACTATGGGATGGGGAAATTTCATCACAAAATAGCTATATTTTCTCTAGCTGTACTATTTTGTCTGGAAAATCATTTGCATTTCATATACGTAAATTTTTCTGATGTCTTTTAGGAAAAAACTATCAAAAACTGTTTAGTATTGTAGTTCTTGATAGTTTTCCTACAAATTTGGTCAAACTCTGCACTGTTTGACATCAGACGAAATTTATACACCTTCTCAAGCACTGTCTGACACTGGTTACACAGTACTGCAAGCGCAGTTCACACAGAAAAGTACCATGAGAAATCAACACTCAGTTTTGCCAAAAAATTCATCAGACTCTGAAAGATGAGGTATACAAAGTTCAGACCAAACTCAGCAATTTATTTGCACATAAGGAGCCTGTATCAAGAATGAACTGAAGAATTTAGGGATCTCTCATAAGCATGGACATGGCCTGCAAATACCAAGCCCGACATGTACTTGACAAACCATTTCTCGAAAGCAGCCCTCCATATAATGTGCAGCATTGATGTTCATGTGGAGCATGGATGAGAACCAATTGCGGAGTGTATTTTGCTAACAATAACAAAAATACTTGTATCAGAATAGTCATAATTGTTAGATGTGTATAGTCCCTTTTCGGCATATCCCCGTTGTATAAGGGGTTTTCTGCACTTTGACACACATGTATATGTAATGGCCTTTGGCCCTCAGGAAATACAGTTGTTCATTATCCAACATGGTATCAGATGTTAGGTTCCCCTCTCCCCCGCACGCTGCAACTTCGTGCTAGATTTCTCCCGATTCCGGCCTATCCCGTCCCGGATCCGGCTGCCCCGGTCAGGTTCCGGCTGTCTTGCGCCCGGACGACCTCGTCCACGACCCAGCTACCTCCTCTTCGCTCCGCTCTCCCCATCTGCCCCGCCGGCACCCATTGACCGGCTTCTCCCCTCGAACTCGTCCGGGTTTCGGCCGCTCCCTCGCGCCTCCGCCGCCGCCCGGTCTGGCCGCTCCCCTCCCTTCCGCCGAGCCCTGCTCTAGCTGCTGCCGCCGGCCTCTGCTCTCTGCTCGCCTGGCCGCGCGAGCGAGCGTGCGGGAGGCCCGCGAGAGGCCCGCGAGTGCGCGTGCGGGGGGCTCGCGAGCGAGCGCTCGCTCCAGTGCCTGAGGCTCCCCTCGATCCCGCTCGCGAGGCACGCGAGGTGCCTGATCCCCTCGATCTCGCGTGAGCGTGCTGGATCCCATCGATCCAGTGCGTGGGATTTCCTGTTTCCGTTGACTCAAAAAAAAAGACAATCAGCATGTCTTCGTCTGGCTATGTAGCTGTTCCTCGGTGCTCGGTGATCTTCGATGGCACCAACTATGCTGAGTTTGTGGGGTTCATGCGTATCCACATGCGCGGACTTCTTCTGTGGGGTGTTCTCTCTGGCGACGTACCCTGTCCGCCCTGCCCTGTTGCTCCGGTGGCTCCTGTTCCGCCGGTACCACCGGTCCTTGCTCCTGATACTTCTTAGGCTGATCGGGATGCAGCCAAGGCCCTTGATGATGCTGCAGTTGATGCCTATGATCAGCAGGTATCCGCTTACTCTAATGCCCTCTCAGTCTACCAGGATGATCTGTCTGCTTACACTCAGTGGTGCAATGATGATGCTCGAGCTGCTGCTGTTCTCACAGCCAGTGTCCTCCCTCAGTTTGCTTTCGAGTTCATGGCCCTTGGCACTGTTGTAGCGATGTGGTCCTATCTTTGTCAGCGCTATCAGCCCTCTGGCGATGCTTTATACCTCTTTGTGGTGCGTCAGGAGCATGCTCTTCAGCAGGGTGACTCGTCTGTTGATGAGTTCTATTCACAGTGCTCTGCCATCTAGCATCAGCTTGACTCACTGCGGACAGTTGTTTGTGGCACTTGTAGTTGCTGTCAGACTACGCGGTCTGATTTAGAGTTTTAGAGGGTTCATGAGTTCTTATCTCGTCTCCGCTCTGAGTTTGAGCCTAGGCGTGCTCACTTGCTTGCTTGTGGTCGTGTCCCTATCTCGGAGGTGCTTGCCGAGCTTCGTGCTGAGGAGACACGCCTTCGCTCTGCTGGGTTGCTTCTGGTTCCGTCAGTATTGGCTGCCCGGGCTCCTGTGTCGTCTGCTCGCCTCACTGCTCCGCCACTCCTGCCTACTCCTCCAGGGGGGTGAGCCGTCCTTCTTATGCTGAGAAGGGCACGTCGCGTCGTGACACCGTCTGTGGTTACTGCTCTCAGCAAGGTCACCCAGAGTCTGATTGTCGCCAAAAGAAGCGAGACCAGAGGCGCTCCTCCTCCAGCGGGCCTCCTGTGTCTTCCTCGACTCCGTCACTCACTGACCAGGACATTGTTCGCCTCAAGCGTCTCCTTGCTTCCTCAGGCTCCTCGTCGACTGGCTCTGCTGCTGTTGTGACTGCATCCTCCTCCTCACCATCACAGGCATCTACACAGTCAGGTACATCTTCGTGGGTTTTGGATTCTGGAGCCTCTTTTCATATGTCTTCTGATTCTTCCGTGTTGTCTTCTCTCTGACCTCTTGATTCGCCTGTCAATGTTCTTACTGCCGATGGCACATCTCTTCCTGTTGCTAGTCGTGGTATTCTTTCCACTCCATCTTTTTCTGTTCCAAGTGTTTCACATGTTCCTCGCCTTACCATGAATCTTTTTTCCGCTGCCCAACTTACTGATTCTGGTTCTCGTGTCATTCTTGATACCGACTCTTGCTCCATTCAGGATCGTCGCACCAAGGTTTTGGTTGGTGCTGGCCCCCGGCGCCGTGAGTCAGAGGGCCTTTGGGAGGTTGACTGGCTTTGTGTTCCTTCTGCTGCCACCACTGATGCCAGCTCTCATGCTCTTGCCGCCTCTTCGTCTGCGTCCTTCCAGCAGTGGCATCATCGACTCGGTCACATCTGTGGCTCTCGCTTGTCTTCCTTAGTTCGTCAGGGTCTCTTAGGGTCTGTATCTGGAGATGTCTCCTTACATTGTAATGGCTTCCGACTTGGCAAATAGACTCAGTTACCTTATCCTACTAGTGAGTCTGTATCTCAGCGTCCTTTTGACTTAGTTCATTCTAATGTCTGGGGTCCTGCTCCCTTTGATTCGAAAGGTGGTCATCGCTACTATGTTTTGTTTATTGATGATTTCTCTCGCTACACTTGGCTCTACTTTATGAAATCTCGTAGCGAGGTTCTCCCTATATACAAACGCTTTGCTGCCATGGTTCACACCCAGTTTGCCACGCCCATTCGTACTTTTCGTGCTGACTCCGCTGGAGAGTATATCTCTCAGCTGTTGCGTGGTTTTCTCGCGGAACATGGTACTCTTGCCCAGTTCTCCTGTCCGGGTGCTCATGCTCAGAATGGTGTTGCCGAGCGAAAGCATCGTCATTTGCTTGAGACGGCTCGTGCGCTGATGATTGCTGCTTCCCTTCCACCCCATTTTTGGGCTGAGGCTGTTTCCGCATCCACCTATCTCATCAACATTCAACCATCGACTTCTCTGCAGGGTGGCATTCCTATGGAGTGTCTCACCGGTCGCTCTCCTGACTACTCAGTTCTTCGTATGTTTGGATGCGTCCGCTATGTTCTTCTTGCCCCCCGCGAATGCACCAAACTGACTGCTCAGTCGGTCGAGTGTGTTTTCCTTGGCTACAGTGATGAGCACAAGGGCTATCGGTGTTGGGATCCAGTGGGTCGTCGCTTGCGCATCTCGCGTGATGTGACTTTTGACGAGTCTCGCTCTTACTACCCACGTTCTTCTTCCTCGAGCTTCTCTGTGGACGACCTTTCTTTCCTTCTTCTCCCCATACACCCTGTTATGTGCCTCATGTGTCACCTCTTCCTCCGGCACCTCTCCTTCCTTCTCATTCACCTCCGACCCCGTCTTCTTCCTCCTCCTCCTCCACCTCTCCCCCATCCTCTCCAGTCCGTCGCCCTCTCTCACCGTTTCCTCTTCACTATACTCGATGTTCTCGTACTGAGGATATTGCCTCTGACGAGCCTTCCACCTCGGGTGCACCTCCTCTCACACCCCCTCCAGTTCATAACCTCTGTGCTCGACCTTGCCATCCGCCTGATCGCTACTCCCCTGATCGGTACGGTGTCACATCCTAGCTAGTCCATGCATTAGAGTGTTGCATCATGTTTACCTTTCATCAGAAATTTGAAATGGGGAAGACAGAACCCCCAGAACCCTCTGAATCCAACTAGGGTTTACTAAAAATATTTTCAATGAACCTGAAATGCCCTTCTAAAATGTTCATCACCTTTGCCTTGGTCTTAAACCACTGTCAGAAGTGATGCATAGATTTCTAGGTCACTCTAAGGTCACTGGATTAAATCTCTAACTATTTGAATTTGGGCATTTAAATTATATAAAATATTTCAAATGCTCAAATAATCCCAAACTAAAATGTTCCATGCTGTAAATATTCCAACTAAGGACCAGGTGCAGTTTGGTGATTTTTGGAGTTGCCTAGGTATTTTTAGAAATGCAACAAACCTACAGAATATTAAAAAAACAGAAACAAAGAGAAAGTCTTACCTGGCGCCACCCAGCAGGCCCACCTGCCGGCCCAGCCCAACCACCGCTCCAGCGAGCTGCTTGGCTTGGCCTAGCAGGCAGGCAGCTGCTCGACGGCGAGCACAGCATGCGTGCCACGTAGCTGCCCGCCGCCTCGCCGCTCCCCTCGTCCAGCTGTTGACGTGGGACGAACCCTCTCCCTCTCCCCGACCCCGCAGACACCTG